TTAGGGGTAGAGCATTGTGGGTTAGGGTTAGATTTGGACCTTTTTAGGTTTAGAGCATTGTGGGTTAGCTTTTGGTTAGGGGTGGACCTGCATTAGGGTTAGAGTATTGTCGGTTAGGGGTCAGGTTAAGTTTAGGGTTAGGTTTGGACTCCAGTAGGGTTAGAGCATTGTGGAAGAGTTGGAATTTTTAATAAGTAGGAATGGTCATTGTCAGGCACCTGGAGTAGTAGAAACAGTTCAATGTGCCTCCCATAAAGCAAACTCTAGTCCCTCTGCACCTGCCTGGGGATAGGGTAAGGTCTGACCCACCATTTATGGAAAGTTTAAGAGCATTTTTCTTTTCACCTTTTTATTATTATTATTTTTTAAATAAATGTTTATTGTTCAGATTATTACAATTTTTCCTCTCCTCCCTACCCCCATTGCTCCCCTCCACTTGGTTCCCACCCCACCCTCTGCCCTTACACCCACCCCACTGTCCTCATCCATAGATGTACGATTTTTGTCCAGTTCCTTCCCCCATCCCCATACCCCTTTCCCTCTGAGAATTGTCATTCCACTCCCTTTCTATGCCCGATTCTATCATATTCACCAGTTTATTCTGTTCATCAGATTTTTTATTCATTTGATTTTTAGATTCACTTGTTGATAGATATGTATTTGTTGTTCATAATTTTTATCTTTACATTTTTCTTCTTCTTCCTCATCTTAAAGAATGCCTTTCAGCATTTCATATAATACTGGTTTGGCAGTGATGAACTCCTTTAGCTTTTCCTTATCTGTGAAGCTCTTTATCTGACCTTCAATTCTGAATGAGAGTTTTGCTGGGTAGAGTACTCTTGGTTGTAGGTTCTTGCTATTCATCACTTTGAATATTTCTTTCCACTTGCTTCTGGCCTGCATAGTTTCTGTTGAGAAATCAGCTGACAATTCTATGGGTGCTCCCTTGTAGGTAATTGTTTTTCTCTTCTTACTTTTAGTATTCTCTCTTTGTCTTTTGTTCTTGGCATTTTATTTTTTATTTTTTTTAAATATATTTTATTGATTTTTCACAGAGAAGAAGGGAAAGGGATAAAGAGTTAGAAACATCGATGAGAGAGAAACATCGATCAGCCGCCTCCTGCACACCCCCCACTGGGAATGTACCCGCAACCAAGGTACATGCCCTTGACCGGAATCGAACCCGGGACCCTTCAGTCTGCAGGCCAACGCTCTATCCACCGGTTTCGGCTGCTCTTGGCATTTTAATTATGATGTGTCTTGGTGTGGTCCTCTTTGGATTCCTTTTGTTTGGGGTTCTGTGTGCTACCTGGACTTGTAAGTCTATTTCTTTCACCAACTGGGGCAAGTTTTCTGTCATTATTTCTTCAAATAGGTTTTCAATATCTTGCCCTCTCTCTTCTTCTGGCACCCCCATAATTTGGATATTGGTACACTTGAAGTTATCACAGAGGCTCCTTGCACTATCTTCATATCTTTGGATTTTTTTTTTTTTCTTTTTGCTTTTCTGGTTGGATGTTTTTTACTTCTTTGTATTTCAAATCTTTGACTTGATTCTTACGCTCCTCTAGTCTACTGTTGGGTCTCTGTGTAATATTTTTTATTTCAGTCAGTGTATGCTTAATTTCTAGTTGGTCCTTTTTCATATCCTCGAGGGTCTCATTGAATTTATCAGCCTTTTCTAGAAAATTCTTGAAAAACTTTATAACTGGTTTTGAACTCTATATCGTCATTTGCTTTCCCCCATTTCTTTCATTTGTGATCTGTTTCTTTGTCTCAGCATTTTGGCTGTGTCTGTGAGTTGACAGAGTGGCTTTGTGTGCTAGGTGTACTATAGGGTCCAATGGCTCAGCCTCCCTAGTTATCTGAGTGCACTTCTTTGTGGGCTATGTCCACAGTTTTGTTGTAGGTAAGCCTTAATTACTGTTGGTATCACTGGAGGAATTGGCTGTGAGAATCAGCTGTGTCTAAGGTGGGAGAACTTCTGTGCTAGAGACACCCTTATGAGGCAAGACTTGCTTCAGTGGGGCTTTGTTGCTCACTGAGTATGCCCCCTGAGTGTGTCCCTTAGGGATCTGAGGAGTTGTAATCTGGATGGTCCTACCCTGACCCCTGGGTACACTGGCTATTGGATCTCCAAGGAGGTGCTAATTTAGCCTCTGCCTGAGGCCACAGAGAGATCTGCAGAGTCCTCTTCTTTGTTTGGGTTTTGGAGGTGCCCAGATGAGTCCAGCTGCAAAGCAATGCAAGCTGCTGCAGGACTGTGGACCTTCTTTTGGATGTTCTGGATCTCACTGACTTAGCTGCAGTCTGTTAGGTAAGTTTAGATTTCAAAGGACCAGGCAATTCATATGCAAAATCCTCTGCGCACCACTGATGTGAGTCAGAGTCTCAGGGCAGAGCAAATAGCAATGGCTTCCCATCAGCCCTGCCCTAAGAGGCCCCCAGGTCTCAATGTCCCTTGGTAATCGCTTCAAGCACCTCTGAGAGAAAGCCGTCCTTGCGTTCCGCCTGCTGCCAGATAGTCCAATTTCTCCCCATATGAGTCGCCCAGAACTGGAGTTGATAGCAGTCGGGAATTTTTGTCTCCCTCTTGATTGAGAAAGCCAGCCGCATACTCAGTTGCCAGCCCTCTCGGCGCACGTGCCTCCATACCTCTGCCTTTACTTCCGCAGCTTCTCTGAGACTCAATGTGCTTTTCTCTTTCTTTCTAGTTGTAGAATTTCCATCCAGCCAGCCTTCCTGTGGTTCTGGATGATGTCCGTTTTGTCTTTTAGTTGAAGTTTTGAAGTTGTTGTGTGAGGCAGCAGTTCAGGTGTTTACATATGCAGCCATATTGGTTTCTCTCTCTTTTCTCCTTTTTAAAAATGTTTTTATTGATTTCAGAGGTAGGAAAGGAGAGGGAGAGATAGGTACATCAAGGTGACACATCCATCGGTTGCCTCCTGCACCCCCCATGTGCAGCAAGTCTGCTATCTGGGCATGTGTCCTGCCTGGGAATGGAACAGGGACCTCTTGCTTCATGGACTGATGCTCAACCACTGAGCCACACCATCCGAAAAGAGTATTTTCTTTGGGCCGAGAGTTTTGTGTATTTCCCCCTGGTGTGCAGACTGCACCTTTGTGTCTATAAAGTCATAACAGAGACGATGATGATAATAGTGACCATGTAATCAATAATACAAGTTGTGATCAAGGGGGACTGAGCCTCGCATGTGTGGTTTCATTCCCTGGACCAAGTGAACCCCCATCCCCATCTCTACGTTTCTCATTAAAGTTGAGGACTCTGCCCACCCCACCCCACCCTGAATAAGAGCACCGTCGGAGGGAGGACTGCCTACGAAATCGTTTATTCTGAGCGAGGAACGATGCGGACTGGAACAGAGCCAGGCCTGGCGTCTCACGGACCCTTCCAGCCTTGCCCTATCTCAGGAGCCCAGCAGGGGGAGGTGCAAGAGGCACCGAGGAACCCTAACCGCTGCGGGGGATCACCGTGCAGGAGAGGCCGGCCACGCCTGGAGGGGACAGGACGGCCACGCCTGGAGGGGACAGGACGGTGCGGCGGGAGCGGAGGTGGACAGTATGCAAGCCAAGTAGACTCAGCTGGGCAACACCATCGCCCAGGCTCACAGGAGGAACTCGATGGCCGTTAAGAAGAATGACGATACAGAACCACACCCCACAGTTCCGTGTCTCCTCAGGAATCCGAGACGACACCGGCTGCCCCAAGGACTGGCTTGTGGTGTAAAAAGTGACGAGGAGGAGTTGATAAAAACACCACTGACCGCCGACAGGGACACACGGGCATCGAATAACCCACACACAGCGCTCATTTCTACCGCAACCCCACCAGACGAGAGAGCCTGAGACGGGAGGGTTTCGCCAGGTGAGGGCGCCGCTGCCCGTGTGGCTGCTGTTCAGGGCGTAGGGGTGCTGGGTGCCTCGCACACAGGACCGGGGGTGGGATTATCACCCCGTTTCCAAGCGAGGAAACTGGTGCTCCAGAGGTGACACGATTCGCCTGGGGGCTTCCTTAGCACAGGGCAGGGCCAGCTTCCGCACATGGACCGGGTCCAGGTCCGAGTGCACCCCGGTGCGGCCGCGTCCTGCGAGTCCACGGCGCTGCTCCGGAGCGGGTGGGTCGGCAATGGCCGTGCTTTGTGCGTGCGCCCGCGGGTGGGCTGTCGATGGTGACCCTCGCTCCCTCACGTATCAACACGGGGCGCCGGCCCCAGCAGCCGGACCCTCACGAAGACAGTCCTGCCTCCCGACGAGACACCCTCACGCCCTCCCGGGAGACACCCCGCGGGGCTGGCCGGCCCGCGTTCTGCGGGGCGTGCTTTCGGGGACCGAGGACACTGCGGAGTGACCAGGTGCGAGAGGCCTCCTCTGTGAGGAAGGGGAGGCATGCACCCACAGCCCCGGACCCGGGACCGGCCGGTCTGCGGGCCACGCCACCCATACGGCCGGCGAGTCTGGCCCGTCGGCGAGCGCCACGGGGACACTTCAGGCTCCGCGTCCCGTGGGGACGGACGGCGCTTCTCCAGAAAGGGCAGGCGTGCCCGTGGTGGTGTTGCCTTTTGCTGCATTTCCCCAAAGTGCCGCCGAAGGAGCCGGGACGGGGCGGGTGGCACAGCTGTGAGGGTCTGATTGCCTTGGGAGGGAGCGCGCATCTGACATCACCATTCGACTGGCCCAGGCGGACCGTTCTGTAAATGTCAGACGTTTGGCTGTGACCCGGCTGGACTCTCCCAGGAGCTGTGACCGGAGGAGGGCAGAGAGCTGCCGACCGACCCCTTCCCTTCGGCGGATGCAGAAAGCGCAGGCCCAGGAGGCTCATCCCAGGTCCCACAGGGATCTTTCTGGCAGAGACCACCCCAGCTCCTGCTCCCAGCCAGGCTCTCTGCATCTGATGTTCTGAGGAGGCAGGGAGGGTGGCAGAGGGGCCGGAGGGCGGGGCGGAGATGGCGGAGATGGCGGGTCCTGTGGGCGGCCAGGGCTTAGCTGCTGCAGCTGCGAGCACAGGCGGGGCCTGGCACGTTGTTGTTGCACCCATCGTCCCGGAGCTTGCCCGGCGCCCGGCTCCCGGCGCGGCCCTCGGGGTCCAGCTGCTGGCCGCCCGGGCCCTGCGGCCTCAGCCTGCGGACAAGCAGAGCACAGGCCAGGTTAGTGCCTGGGCGGGGACGGCGAGGTGACTGGGTGGGAGGGAGACGGAGGAGCCCTCAGCCCGCGCCTCCTGGGCCTGGGAAGCCCGGTGCCCGGAGGCAGGTGGGCCTGCGGTCAGAGCCCGGCTCAGGTGCACCCAGGTGAGTTTCTGCACACACGGAGCCTCAGTTTCTCCATCTGTCAAATGGAGACCATAGCGCCCACGCGTGGCTCCTCATGACGTGTTCGGGGCCATGGATGTCACGTGTCAGTGGAGGGGATGAGGCCCACCATCACTCATCCACACATCCATGTGCAGTGCCCGCCCATGGACCGGCCCCTGCGGGGGGCACAGGAAACCCTGCAGCAAGCCTGTCGCTGTCCTCAGGGAGCTGAGAGCCTGGCGGGGGCGGGAGAGGAGGAGGGTAGGACCCCCTACGCAGGCTGCAGAGGAGTCTGAGGATCTGCTTTCCCCTCCGTCCCCTCCATCCCACGGGAGGCAGCACCTCTGGAGGGAAATCCTGTCACAGCCAGGGGAAACCTGAGAGTGAGACGGAAAGACTTTGACTCCAAACTAGGGCAACCCCGCTGGGCTCACAACGCTGACATGGCAGGAGTCCCTGGGGCTCTCCCAGGATGAGGGTGGATCCTCCTAAGATTCTCACTGAAGCGCCCCAAGCAGGGAGTGCCATTTAAAAATAGCGCCCGTGCCCGAGGGTGGCTATATTGAGAGCTGGCGTTGCTATCTCTAGACTCTCATCCTTTCCATTTTAACACAGAACGTAACTGCAGGGGCTGCTCAGGGAGAGGGGAGCAGTGACAAGGGAGCCGGTGAGGGAGACATGGGCCCCGAAATCCTGTGCGAATCAGGGGGGGCTTCCTGGAGGCAGCATTTGAGCTGGACTTTAAGGATTGGTATGGAATGTGGAGGGAGGGAGGGAGGAAGGGAGGGAAGGAGAGAAGAGATACAAGGGGGAGGGAGGGAAGGAGAGAGACAGGGAGGAAAGGAGAGAGGAAGGAGGGAAGGAGAGAAGAAGAGATAGAAGGGGGAAGGAGGGAAGGAGGAAGGGGGGAGGGAAGGAGAGAGAGAAGGGGAGGGGGGAAGGAGAGAGGGGGGAGGGAGAGAAGGAGAGAGAGAGGAGGGAGGGAGAGAAGGAGAGACAGGGAGGAAAGGAGAGAGGACGGAGGGAAGGTAAGAGAGGGAGGAAAGGAGGGAGGGCAAGGGAAGGGGGAGGGAGGGAGGGAGGGAGGGAGGGAGGGAGGGAGGAGAAGTGAAAGGAAGAGGCACCAGAGGTGAGGAACGGGAAGTATAAAGGACACCACAGTCCTCTCTGTCCCACTCAGGCCAGACCACCGTAAGGAGGAGCAGCAGCTGCTCAGTCTCCCGCTCCATGTCACAGCCAGGATCACCGAGGCCTAGAGCAGAGCTCAGCCAGGTGAGACTCACGCCCGTGCACACCCCTCCCACCCCCACAGGTGCAGGGGGAGCACCGAGGCAGCATCCGGAGGGAGAGGCCTGCTCTAGGAGCCCACCTGCGCCCACGCTCTGGGGGCTCCGAGACGGCGCTCTGGGGGGCAGACATGGGCCTGTGGCCAGACGAGGAGTCTGCATTCCGGGGCAGGCATGGAGGGAGCCGCGGAGGAGGTGAGGGGCCCCTCCGGGCAGGCTGTCCGGGTTCTGGCCAGTGGGCGGGTGGGCAAGGCAGGGCCAGTGGAGAAGGCAGCAGCCTGTCACTCATCCGGCGTGGCCACCGCTCTAGGGCACGTGGGGGTCAAGGTCAACCCAGACTCACACACGAGGCCTGGCCAGCAGTCCCCACCCACTGCTCTGGCCAGCAGCGCAGGAAGGACCTCTGGGACCACAGCCGGAGACGCTGGGGTCCAGCACAGCCCACGGCCACTAAGTAATAATGACCACAGTAATGGGCTCTACCTGTATCCGCAGCTTCTGCAGTCTGCTGTCAGCCACCGGCAAGCAAAGAGCTCACTTCCACGGCTGGCATGAGGCCTGGGAAGCGAGCACCCGGCCGGGGTCACTCTGGCAGCCGCAGCGCCAGGACTCTTACAATCTGGAGCCCAGGCCCCTCACCACCTGCCTGTGCGTGCCAGTGCCCGCCGGCCAGGTCCCACCCGCTTTCCCCTCTCACACAGTGACGCTGAGGCCCGGGGAAGGGAAGCTGGGTGAGCTGTCCCCTCCCAGCTCCCGGCTGGCACCGGGAGCCTGCGTTTCAGAGGGCTCTGCCCGGCGGCAGATGGGGGGCGGGGGAAAGGACTTACTTCTCTCTGTTGAATACAATGAATTCCTTCCGCACGGTCTCCAGACACTGCTGCAGGTGGCCGTTCTGTCAACGGGACACACAGGGGACCGTGAGTGACGGACAAAGGGCCGTGACTGGCAGAGACCAGCCGCCCGGGACTGGCACGCACAGGTGGGACCAGCTAAGTGCCGCGAGCAGCCCTGCTGGCGCCGTGGCTGTGCCAGGGGCCCTGGCAGACAAAGATGTTTTTCTCAGTTTGAAGCCACTAAATCCAACCTGAGAGCGATGGCAGGGGGGATTGTGGGTAGAAAATCTTGGGCGTGGCTTCCTGGTGGCTCCAATGTCCATCAGGCCTAATAAAGCGTGAAGGGGGGAGGGGGGAGGAGCGCAAGGCATCCTGTAGGTGCTTGTTCGCACCAAGAACAGGTGCTGAGAGCCACCTGCCGCTCACCTAGGCAGAGCCTCGGGCCTGGGGCATTGGGCCGGGGCCCACCATACCGTTAGGGTCTACAAAGATGTTTCAATTTCTTTAAAATAAGTGACAAAGCCCAACGGGCGTGGCTCCGTGACTGAGCATCCAGCCGTGAGCCAGGAGGTCACGCTTCCATTCCTGTCAGGGCACAGGCCTGGGTTGTGGGCTCGATCCCCGGGAGGGGGCGTGCAGGAGGCAGCCGATCCTTTCATCTTAAGAGATATGATTTTTCTCTCTCTCTAGCCCTCTCTCTGAAATCAATAAAAACATTTTTTAAAATCACAAATAAGAAATAAAAGGCAGCCTAGCTCCATCGCATCCTGGGAGCACAGGACTCCCGCCCTCCGGGTCCCCCCTCTACCCCCCGTCCCCCGCCATGGCGCTCACTAGTGCCCCCCACCACCCCCACCGCCATGGCGCTCACCAGCGGGCAGCTGTCCTTCGTGCCGTCTCTGGACCTGTTCTTCGCCAGCCTCTTCTTCTTCTTGTGAAGTGGCTTGGATTCGAGAATCATTTCTTCGAGTTCAAACGTGGGGTCACAATTCAGTCTCCCTTTCTGGAAGGAAAGCACGGTTTGTCCTTCTTCCACCCATCATCGAACTTGACTTCACTCATTCATCCTCTCAGTCATTCATTTAACAGACTCCTGTGGGGTGTGTCTGCTGTATATCTTTTTTTGATGATGAGAAGCAACCCATTCCCCCTGCACAGGCCCTTTGATGACCCCCACGGCCCCTCCCACACCCCGGGCGGCCCCGCCATCGCCGTCCACGTGCTCCCTTCCCAGGGATGGATGGTCCTTCACGAGGCTGAGTTTAGTTTTCCGATCTGACATTTCCACGTGCTTTACCAGACGTTCTCACGCCACCACTCCCTTTCCTGTAGATGTCGTTATCACTCCTTCCGTGTAAAATGCCATTTCTCACCCACTGCTTCCCGTTTCCAGTCCTGGTTCCCCCTCCTCCGCAGCTGGAGCCAGCGGACCCTGGTCTGGCCTCCTGGAGGCTGGCCCTGCCCACTGTGGCCGGAGGATGTGGGTCTCTCTGCCTTCCAGTCCTTGGGTCCGAAACCTCAGGTGCCTTCTCTGTCCTGAGACCCATCCAGGGTGCCAGTCCCTTCGGGCAGCATACCTGGTAGTTATTTTGTTTTGTTTTGTTTAAATGTATTTTTATTGATTTTTTAGAGAGAGGAAGGGAGAGAGAGAGCTAGAAACGTCGATGAGAAAAAAACATCGACCAGCTGCCTCTTGCACACCCCCCACCAGGGATATGCCCACAACCAACGTACATGCCCTTGACCGGAATCGAACCCGGGACCCTTCAGTCCGCAGACCGACGCTCTACCGCTGAGCCAAACCGGTTTCGGCCACACCTGGTAGTTTTAACCTCCATGGCTCCGGAGGTGCAACTCTCCCAATGAGCAGTTGGGATTTCAGGCCCAAGTGTTTCCTGGCCCGATTTATCTGCCATTCACTCACTCACTCACTCACTCACTCACTCACTCACTCACTCCAGTGCAGGCTCTGGATCCAGACTGTCTGAGGTCAAGCCTGGTTCTGCCCACCTCTCACTGAGTGATCGGGCAGTTTCCTGACCTGAGAACTCGGACAGACGCACTGCCCTGTGGAGAAGCTTGCATGAGATGCTGGGTGTGCGTGCCAGGCACACACTGCACCCTGCTGGCTGCTGTCTCTCCTGCAGCTGCTCTCAGGAGGTGAGACACACTGAGCCTCCTGGTGCCTTCGAAGGCCACCCATCCTGGGGTCTCCCCCAGGCACAGGCCGGCCCCCCACCTGGTCCCCACTCTCTGAAGTCTCAGGAGGATGGCAGACACTGAAACGGAACCTTATTGATCACTAACGGAGAGAGGCTGCCCCCAGAGCAAAACCAGTGCTGACCCTCCCTCGGGCCAGTCCTGCTTGCATGCTGAGTCTTGAAGGAGGGATGGGACCCTGCTGGGCGTGAGGGGGGGAGTGGCGTGCCATCAGACGGGACCCCCACTCACATTGGGCACAAAGCTGGGGGTCAACGCTTTCTCCAACACCGCGTCCCAGTTCACGTCGGCCAGGTAGGGTGTGCTCTGAACGTCGCCGAGGCTGGACAGGCGGCTCTCGGGATCCTTGGTCAGGAGCTGGGGACACAGGGCGGAGAGCTTGCCTCAGCTGTGCGTCACCAAGGTGGGCGGGAAGCTGAGGGCCGGGTCACGCTCCAGCCGGTCGCCCCGTCTGGGACGCTGTCATTGGAAGTATCACCAAACCCACCTCTTTACAACAGGGAGGGATGGAGGGGTCAGGCTGCTTCTGCAAGGCATCCAGCCGGGGGCCCTTGGGTGGGGACAAAGCCTGCAGCCGCTGGCTCCCCTCGGGGACCATGGCCTGTGACACACTGGCTTGTAGGGGAGCACAAGAGACTTGGTTGGAAAGTCAGTAAGGAGGAAATTCTGACCTAGGGGAGTCGGTTGAAGGTGGCAGCCCTAAGTGTTTCTTGACCTTTCCAAGCAAATCTGTGTGCCCACCTCTCACTGAGTGATCGGGCAGTTTCCTGACCTGAGAACTCGGACAGACGCACTGCCCTGTGGAGAAGCTTGCATGAGATGCTGGGTGTGCGTGCCAGGCACACACTGCACCCTGCTGCCTTGGGTGTCTACCGGAATCTTTATGCTTAATCTTTAGACGCGCTTGCTTAAAGGACACTGCAGACATATGCGTCCTCCCAAGATTACTACCTTACTGATAAACCTTATCCCAAACTGCTGCCACATAAAAGCCGGAGAGGCCGGCGAGTGAGGCTGTCTGGTTCCTATAGCCAGGCAGCCCCTTAGCCCTCTCTCTCACAGAAATGTGCGTCAGAGTAATCATTCACCTGTCGCTCAGGGGACAGTGAGGTCAGGGCACCAGACCACAGAGGGCGCCTTGGATGGTCCCAGGGGAACTATGACCCTTGGCACATCCCATTATCAAGCTGAAAGTCCTGAGATGAGACAGCTGGTTCTTTTATTCTTAATTGGAAGCCTCTGGGATACAAGGGAGAGCCAGTGGGGCCGAGGAACCCGGTGGTGACTCCAAAGCAAGTCAGCGGAGAGCGATTCTGCGCGTCATCCCCGGGGGAGGAGCGAGTGCTGGGGTCGGGGCTGGGGGGCTGGGGCAGAACCCTCCTCTGCTCCTTCGCAGCCCCGTGGCACTGCTGGCAGGTTTCACTTTCCTGAGCCTCAGTCTTCTCATCTCTACTATGGGGACAACACCACTGCTCAGGGTCAAACACAGGCTTGTCTCGATGAAGGGAGAAGACTCAGCTCATGGCCTAGGACATACTATTACCTCAACCAGCGCTGGCACGTGACCACCAGTGCCGTCAGCTGACACGTCTTGGAGGGTTCCCAGGGGCCACGGCTGAAGGCCAGCCCAAAGGGAGGACACCCAGCCTACTGCCCCCGAGTGCACAGAGCTCCCCCCCCCCCCATAGCTCATGGAGACACACACAGCCCGGCCCACCCTGGGCTCCGACTCTGAGAATCGGCCTTTCCAACAAGCCCCGGGAGGTGCTGACCCCGCTGGTCCCCGGAACACACTTTGAGAACCTCTGCTTCATTGTAACACCGACAGTTCCTCAATGGTCCCGAGATGCCCAGTGCCTTCGAGCCCAGTGATGGGAAGACGCTTTGTAAATAACATGTGAGAGTCACCCGCAGCGAGGGTCTCTGTGCTGGGAGCCTGTGCCAGTGTGCAAGGGTCTGGCATGCCGTCACCACCGGGAGTCCGAGCCCGGCTCGCCGGCCAGCAGCTTGCAATCCTGAATGCCGGATGCTGAGAGCCTGCTCTCCATCTCCCGTCCCTCCGTTTCCTTCTTCCTCGTGGTGCCGGGAAGCCCGAGTCTGCACCGCGGCCCCATTCCCGCCGGCGGGTGGCGGCCCCCTCACCTTCCTCAGCAGGGCGACCATGCCCTGGCCCCACGTGGAGGAGTAGTGCACACGCTCTGCCTGGAACATGTTCAGGATCTCCGTCACGGGCATGGCCGAGTGGATCTCGTACGGCCTCTGCAGAGACAACGGGCAGGATCAGAGCGAGCGACAGGACACGGCGCTGGCCGGGTTAAAACCATAATACAGCCGGCCGGCGAGGCTCGGTGATTGGGCCTCAACCCATGAACCAGGAGGTCTCGGTTTGATTCCCGGTCAGGGCACATGACCAGGATTGCAGGCTCGATCCCCAGTGTGGGGCGTGCAGGAAGCAGCCAACGCATGATTCTCTCTCATCATTGATGTTTTTCTCTTTCTCTCTCCATTTCCCTTCCTCTCTGAAACCAATACACACACACACACACATATTCTTTTTTAAAAGAAAGAGTTTATCTTTGAAGGAGTAAGAACCACTCCATCCTTGGGGCTTTGGCCACATCCTCACCTTTAATGGTGCTGACTTGTGAGGAAGACAGAGAAGGGACTTTCTACTGGCCAAGGCCCAACCAAGCTTAGGTCAGCTGCTCACTGCAGTCACTGGCCTGACTATTGGAGATAGTCAGCATCTGGCAACGCTCTTGTCCTCTGGTTCTGACAAATACGATGGACCCTCCTAATCCTCCCCTGAGTGTACGTGTGTCTGTGGAACCACAGACGACCAGGACAGGCCAGGATGAGGCAGCCTGTGGGAGATCAACCTTTCCATTCAGAGCATGAGAAAATGAGCAGACTCATAGTTTTTGTGTGTGTGGTGTGTGTGTGTGTGTTTTCATTCTAAAAAGCACCATTCCACTTTGAGGAACTCAGGGGAAGTAACTGATGGAGAGTAGATCACAGCTGTTTAGCTACAGGGTCTGAGTAATACATATGTGTCCTCTAAGAGCTCTGACGGCTTGTAGACTACTCCATTAATTAATTAATTAGTTAATTAATTAATTAATGTATTCATCACCCATGGCCACCATGCCCGGGACCTGCCCTCACTGGCTACTGGGCTGACGGCCCCTGTGTGGAAGGGGCAGAGCGCACCCGCAGTGGGAGAAATGGGGCGCTGCCTGCTGTGCGAGCAGCGGAGCCCGGAAGGTGAGTGACACGTATACCACACGCAGCAGCCCAGAGCGGTGAACGCCGTGAGAGGATGGGCCGGTCCCCATGTGCGGGAAGCCACGTCCTGAGAGGGGGGGGGGGGCCCTGTGTAAATGCTCCTCGTGCAGAGAAAACAGCCTCGGAGTCTGTGTCATCGTTCCTTCTGCTCAAATACAACGACGGGACCCTAGCTGCCAGGCAGCTCCAGGGGCCGTCTTTGGTTCTTCCTTTTAAATGCGATCAAGTGAAAATACATTCCGGATGCCCCATCTTTCTGGGACACCGAGCTGAGGTGCTCAGGGAAGATCGGGATGACTAGACCCACAGAGCCCGTGAAGGACGCACGGCCTGCACCCTGCCAGGGCTTCAGACCAAGCGGGAAAGTGGGGAGGACACCGTGTGGGGTGGGAGGAGGCAGCGTTGGAGATCACGGGCCAAGGCGCTCCCCACATCAGAGCTGCCAATGATGAGCTGATGACCTTCGCACAGCCTTCTGCTCCCGGCGTCCCTTGCCCGTGAGCAGAGAAGCTCGCTAAGCTCAGGGGCCTCAGAGCTGGCACGCACACACACCATGGGGACTGGCACTCAGGCCTCTGACTCCTCACACTGTGCTCTTTCCTCCCACCCAGTGCCAGCCCAGCAAAATGGTGTCCCTAGTCCCCCCAAGCCTGGGATCCCCAAGCCCCCACTTCCACGGCCCTGCATGCCCATTGTGCGGGCGCACATCTTACCCAGCCCCGCAGCAGCTCGTAGGCCGTGATGCCCAGGGACCACCAGTCGACGGGGTAGGAGTACCCGGGGCCTCCATCCACGTAGGCCTGGAACACCTCCGGGGCTGCCGAAGACAGGATGGAGAGATGTCGCCGCGGCTGAAGCACACTCCCCACCCCTGAGAGGGGAAGAGGGTCCCTGCAGGTGTGGCCTGTAAGGAACCCACAGTGCGGGGACTGGTTCCTTCTGACGCCCAGTGAATCAGGCATCTGCAGACCCCTCCCACAGGGCCCCTGACCTGGGTCATGTGACTTGTTCTGGCCAACTGGGCGCCGGGAAATGTGCGGCAAGCAGGGTCTCCATGAGCATGTGGGGACCGGGTTCTCCCCGAGGCCACTGTCACCATGTGTGCAGGCTCTCATCACGGGGACCACGCTGGGAGAGGCCATTCCTCTCAGCTCTCCTGGTGGAGCCGGCCCCCAGCTGGCCCACCGGCTGAATGAATGAGCCCAGCCCAACCCAGCAAAGAACCGTCCAGCTCCATGGCAGGATTGTGAGAAGTCATGTGAGTTTTTATGTGGTTTGTTACTAAGGAAAACGGGAACTCACATAGACATCAAGACTTAAGAACTAAGAGACATTAATAAAATTACACAAGACATAAAAGGACAACATACATTTGAACAGAAAAACTCAGCAATCAGGCAAAAGAACTCGGGGGGGCGGAGAAATCAGCAATAAAGGGAAACTATTTCAGTAATACATACTACACTGGAAAGCACACAAAGTGAATACACTCAACAGATCATGCTTTAAAAGGAAAGAGAAAGAAAAATGAGGAAAGTTTAAATGAATGAAGGGAGATAGAAGAAAGAAAATGACAAATATTGAAGGGTGGCAGAGAAGACCCAACTTTCAGATAATCGGCGTCCTTAGAGAAAACAGAATGCTTCCCAAAAATAACACTCCCGCCAAAAACCATAAAGAAAACCCAGCCTGAAGCCACACGTGGTGTACTGAAGCATACAGACCCAACTGACCAACACCAAGGCTGTATGTTCTGGTAAAACTGCGGCGCTTGCCGAGACCGGTTTGGCTCAATGGATAGAGCGTCGGCTTGGGGAACTGAAGGGTCCCGGGTTCGATTCTGGTCAAGGGCATGTACCTTGGTTGCGGGCATATCCCCAGTAGGGGGTGTGCAAGAGGCGACTGATGGATGACTCTCTCTCATCGATGTTTCTAACTCTCTATCTCTCTCCCTTCCTCTCTGTACAAAATCAATAAAATATATATATTAAAAAAAAAAAAAAACAAACTGAGGTGCTTGAATCAAAAAGAAAAGAAAGGTTGGTTGGATTTTCTAAGCCTGAGCCAAGCTTCCCGGAACAGCAGTCACCAGGCCTCAGGGACCACCAGTGGTCCACGGACCACCGGTTGGCAACCACTGCTCCAAAGGTTTCCTAAGAGAAGACACGGGAGGGGAAGGTGTTCCTGGCAGGGCAGACAGCCTGGGTGAAGCCCGAAGGTGTCAGAGAGCCAGGCACCTGTGGGGCATGGCTGGGGTGGGAGTGAAGCAGGGGAGGATACGGACGCCTCAGCCACTGGGCAGGCCACACCCCAAGGGGGTTCTGGAACACTCACCCATGTAGGGCTTGGTGCCGGCCATGGAAGAAGCCATCCCCGCCCCCTTCACCACGGTCGCGATGTTAAAGTCTGTGATGTGGACGTGTCCTGGAGACAGAGAAGCAGGAGCTGCAGGAGGCTGTGCTACTCCCGTGTCACAGTAGCCAAGACAGGGACACAACCTCAGTGCGTATTAACAGAGAAGTGGATAAGAATGTGCTATGTACACCCAGTGACGGATTACTCAGCCAGAAGAAAGAAGGACATCCTGTCATTTGCAACCACAGTGCTACGTGAGATAAGTTAGACACCTAAAGACAAATACCACAGGATATCACCTACGTGTGGAGTCTAAACAAAAATCAAATTCATAGAAACAGTGAGTAGAAAGAGGTTGCCAGGGCCTGGGGTGGGGACGTAGGGAGAGGTTGGTGAAGGGCAGCTCTAAGATGGATAAGGTCTGAAGAGCTAATGGATAACATGGAGACTATAACGATAACACTGACTTGTATAATTGAAAGTTGCTAAGAGTATAACTTAAATGTTTATAGATAGAGGCCTGGTGCATGAAAATTCATGCACTGGAGGGGGTAGGGATCCTTCAGCCCAGCCTACCCCCTCTCACGGCCTGGAAGCCCTCAGGGGCAGGAGGTGACTTGGTGATCAGGGAAAGGTGATGCCCCATCACACCTCTGCTGCTGCCACTGCCAGCAGTGTAAGCCACAGCTGGACCTGGTTACCTTAGCCTTGGGAGGCCCTCCCCTGAGTCCTGAAGGGACTGGGGGACTCCGGAGGCAGGTGTTTGCTGCCCCAGTGGGGCTAAGGGGACTGGACACCGCCATCTTGTGGCTGTGGGCACTGCCATTTTTGAGGGCAGGGCAGTCAATTAGCATATTCCCTCTCTATTAGATATAATGTCTATTTTATGGGCAAGTTTTATAGTACACATTTTTAGTGGTTCAGGCATATTACCTTTAAATAAACAAATCTACTCATAATGAAGGAGTGATAGCATTATTTATTGCAAGTTTAGAGGAACGGACCCAGAGAGTGAGAGCCCCTGGTGAATAGCAGAGGCAGGTCCACCCAGACTGCCATCCCAGGACAACTGTGTGAGAGCGGGTGCGGACAGGGCAGGGCGAGGAGAGGGCTCCTGTGCCCCGAGGACGCTCCTGCTCTCCTGTCTCGGCTGTGGTCAGAGGGGGCCTCAGGATGGTACCTGACGGATTTAGTGGGGAGCTAGGGGGCTGCCCTGGGTGTCTGGCACCTGGCCGTGGGATGCTGGGATGTCCAGGGCAGGCAGTGGCCTGGAGGGAGAAACAGTCAAGTGTAGACTACAGACAGTAAAGAGTGGCTCTCCCCCTCACGGCCCAGCTGTGGAAAGCCAGAAACACAGCGCTGGCTGCCACCATGGCCATGCAAGGCCGGCCTGCCAGAGGGGGGCCAGGAGGAGAGGGTGGGGCCCCAGGAAACCACTGGGCCCAGGTGCTGTGGCCCCAGGAGGTGAGCACACATCATGTGACCTTAGTCTAGGAAGCAAGCCTGCCAGAGCTTAGCTACCCAGACCTGCGTGCGGGTGAACATGGGTGGCCTTCCCGTCTGCCCATCAGGCTCAGGGGTTGTTCCTTGCCCAGCCCCGTGGGAACAGCAGAAAGCGGGGCAGCCCCCTTCAGCTGCTCACCCCACTCCCTCCGGCTCTGCCTCAACCCTGAAGCACCTCAGCTCCTCTCCCTCCCTCCTGCGATGCCGCCTCTCCCTTCAGCTTGTCTACTTCTGCTTCTGGCCATGGGACCCCATCCCAGAGCCCAGCCAAGTGCCACTCTGGGGGGCAGGGCCCAGCATGGGGGGTCAGAGAGCCAAGCCCACGGTGGAAAGGGGCAACTCCGTGAGAGGCGTGGGCTTTGCGTGAAGCAGCAAATTTTAAACATCATCAATGAATTGTTCACGCGTCTATTTAATTGTGTCTGTTTCACAGTGCACGCGGCCAAGCGGCCTGCTCTCCGAGGAAACGCTGAGTGAGGCTGATGACCAGACTCTGTGTAAACAGCCAGGCAGGGCGATCTGCTTTGCGCGCTGTCCTGCAATGCCATTAACCAGTGGTCAGGGGACGCACCGCACAGCGCGGTGACCGCAGTCAATGAGGCCGTGTGCCTGTGGGGGTAGATCTTGACGGCTCTCGCCGCACATTGAACGGAAGGCGTGTGAGGTGGTGATGTGTGAATTAGCCTGGTGCATTAAATCGCCGTGTTGTACCTTAAAAACCATGCTGGCCATCCTTACCAGGTGCAGCGTTTAAACCCCAGCCATAACCCAATACAGCTGGGCGCGAGGCAACAATGGCTAAGGATCGAATAAAGGCCGAGGCGCAGCTCGGTCATAAATCGGGGACGAGGGCCCTCTCCGCTAGGGGAGGGGCTTGTGCTTTCTGAGAACTGCCTGCTCCTAACCTTCCTTCCTGTGCTGGTGAAAGGGAGGGCGAGGCAGCCACTCACGCCCTAGTATGAAATAGTGCCTTCAGCGCTCTGTCCTAGCGTCTGGTGGAAACACTTGATGAAGCAGTAGCAGGTCCAGAGGCCCGAGGGGAGCGTGGGGTGCTGCCCCTCGACTCGCAGGACAGCCGGCTGTGCATGGCCGAGCTGGCCCCAGGCCCAGGGTCCTGACGTGGCTGGGCACACCTCCCGGGGGCTGGCCCAGAATGATGGCCCTGACCCGGAGCGGGTCAGGCTGGTCTTTGGTTCCTACAAGTCTCCCTGGGGATTCCCACAAGAATACTGGACAGCCCGGCACGGAGCCTGCTGTCAGGGTGCTCTGTGGACCGGCTCAGCGGCTGCACCTGGGAGCCGCGAGACCCAGAATCTTCCGCGGACTCAGCCAGGCTCCGGAGGCACGCACACGCTTGAGGAGCCTGGGTGGGGCGGGGGGAGGTTGGTGGGTGATTGATCACTGATGACGGATTTTTGGCTCCCCATGATGATCAGGAAGCTGGGCACCGCTTCCCTGTTTGGCAGGTGGCACCGAGGCTGAGAGGTGAGTTGCTCCCCACAGTCAGGGGGTCACTGTCACCCATGGGGAGCTGGGGTCTTGACCTCAGGGCCTCCTGCCCCTCTCTCATCCCCACTTCCACCCGGTCCTCCTCACCGGGAAGCCGACAGCTGCGTGTCCGGACATGAAGCAGTCAAATATGCTGGACGCCACTCCCCCTGGCAGGACGCAGACCAGAAACTCACACAGATGCCCACCCGCCAGGACTGGAGCAGGAAAGGCTTCCAGTCCATCCGGGGACCCCACCCCCCAGAACCCCCGACCCCACGCCCCGCTGCGGCGCCCGCGGCTTACCGTGCTCGTCCAGCAGGATGTTGTCCGGCTTGATGTCCCTGTAACGGAAAACAGGAGCTGAGACGGGCTCCGGGCCGCCCCCAGCACCGGACAGGGACCCTCGGGGGCACGGGTGGCCCAGCAGTAGCCTGGCAGCTCCTCTCCCCGGCGCCTGGCCAGGGAGGAGCAGGAGAGAGTCACCGTGATCCCCGGCTGCCTGCGCCCCCACTCCCTGCTCTTCCTGGAACTGCAGGGATTGTGTGAATTTTTTTTTTCTAGAAGTCTTTTCTTCCTTCCTTCCCTCCCTTCCTTCCTTCCTTCTTTCCTTCCTTCCTTCCTTCCTTCCTTCCTTCCTTCCTTCCTTCCTTCCTTCCTTCCTTCCTTCCTTCCTTCCTTCCCTCCTTCCCTTTTAGTTAATCCTCACCTGAGGATAATTTTCCTGTTGATTTATTTTTTTTGAGAGCGTGGACGGGAGGGAGCCAGCCTTCGCTTCATGGGGCTCCCCCAGAGCGCAGGCCATGGCAGACGTGCCTGCAGAGACCACGTGGGTGCAGGTGGAGGGGAGCGTGTCTGCGGACCCTCTCTCTGCAGAGGCCTGGGCTCCAGGCGGGGGAGGCGGTTATTATTGTAATGACAGGAGCGGAGCCGAACCTCATTAAAGAGCCTCTTGACCCAGAAGCATGAGAGCAGCTCTCATCTCCTCCTTTTTAAACATTCTGGACTTGCTGGCCTCGCCGAGGAAGGAACATTAGATTAAGGACTATTTCCTCCGGAGGACGCCAGTGCAGAGGGGTGACAGTGTCTCAGATGCACCAGGGCTTCCAGCGGATGAACCACCAGCATGGAGGTGGCGGGACCCGGGGAGCCAGGGCCCGGCAGCCCCAGAGCCGCTGCTGCTCCGGCCTTGCTCATTCATCAGACTCACCAGAACCCGTGCCCCCCCCCCCCAGCTTCCACATTTCCTGTTTCCCTGCTGGCACCCAATGCCCAACCCCTTGCCCTTTCTTCCCCAAATATAAGCCCTCCTGGAGCTCATCTCTCTCAGGGGTCAGTCCACTGTCCTCCCGCATTGCCGTGCTCTCTGCCCAACCATCTGCCGCGTCTGCGTGCCCGTTGGCAGCACGAGGGGGGGGGTCAGCAGACCCGGCGGTTGTGAGAAGTGAATGACGTGGTGCACACAGGCACCTGCTGGGACCCATCCCTCGGCCTGTGTGCCAGGGCAGCATCGCCAGGGCTGCTCACTCTGATTGCCCCCCACACTGAGTCACCTGGCAACTTGGCATCAATGTCAACACAGACACAGCCAGCTCCTGCACACCCAGTGTGGGAAAACACCCCCACAGCTGGCTCCTGCACACCTGGTGCAGGAAAACACCCTGCAGCCGGCTTCCGCACAACCGATGTGGGAAAACACCCCGCAGCTGGCTCCCGCACACCCGGTGTGGGAAATCCCCTCCCCTGCAGCCGGCTCCTGCACACCCGGTGCAGGAAAATACACCCGCAGCTGGCTCCCGCACACCCGGTGTGGGAAAACACCCTCACATCCAGCTCCCGCACACCCGGTGTGGGAAAACACCCTCACATCCAGCTCCCACACACCCGGTGCAGGAAAACACCCCACAGCTAGCTCCCGCACACCCGGTGTGGGAAAACACCCCACAGCTGGCTCCCGCACACCCAGTGTGGGAAAGCACTCTCACATCCAGCTCCCACACACCCGGTGCAGGAAAACACCCCCACAGCCGGCTCCCGCACACCCGGTGTGGGAAAACACCCCACAGCTAGCTCCCGCACACCCGGTGCGGGAAAACACCCCACAGCTAGCTCCCGCACACCCGGTGCGGGAAAACACCCCCGCAGCTGGCTCCCGCACACCCGGTGTGGGAAAACACCCCCGCAGCTGGCTCCCGCACACCCGGTGTGGGAAAACACCCTGCAGCTGGCTCCCGCACACCCGGTGTGGGAAAACACCCCCGCAGCTGGCTCCCGCACACCCGGTGGGGGAAAACACCCTGCAGCCGGCTCCCGCACACCCGGTGTGGGAAAACACCCTCACATCCAGCTCCCACACACCCGGTGCAGGAAAACACCCCCACAGCTGGCTCCCGCACACCCGGTGTGGGAAAACACCCCACAGCTAGCTCCCACACACCCAGTGTGGGAAAACACCCCCGCAGCTGGCTCCCGCACACCCGGTGTGGGAAAACACCCCACAGCTAGCTCCCGCACACCCGGTGCGGGAAAACACCCCACAGCTAGCTCCCGCACACTCGGTGCGGGAAAACACCCTGCAGCTAGCTCCCGCACACCCGGTGTGGGAAATCCCCTCCCCTGCAGCCGGCTCCCGCACACCCGGTGTGGGAAAACACCCTGCAGCCGGCTCCCGCACACCCGGTGTGGGAAATCCCCTCCCCTGCAGCCGGCTCCCGCACACCCGGTGTGGGAAATCCCCTCCCCTGCAGCCGGCTCCCGCACACCCGTGTGGGAAACCCCGCAGCGGCCTCCCGCAGGCCCCGGCGCCCGCCGCGCTCACCGGTGGATGATGCGGTGCTGCTGCAGGTAGTCCAGCGCCAGTGCCAGCTCACACACGTACAGCCGCACGGCGCCCTCGGGGAAGTGCACGTGCTGCTGCAGGTGGTAGCGCAGGTCCCCGCCCAGCAGCAGGTCCACCACCATGAACATGTCCTCCTCGTCCTGGAACGAGTACCTGGAGCAGAGGGCAGAGCCGTGAGTGGGGGACGCCCGTGCCCCACTTCCCAGCCACACAGACAGGCCGGGGAGAGAGCCATGGCACTGGCCCCGGTGCTGGAGACAAGCAGCCTTCACAGTATGGCTCCAGCGTCCTGCTTCCTTCTTAGCAGACGTGTGAGTGACGTGGTCAGGGCTGGTGGGCATCGTCTCCCGAGATGCACCCCTCCTCAACAATCCCTCCGCTCCCCACACACACGCTCCCCCAAATTCACACTCACTGCCCACACACACACATGTGCTCCCCCCACATACATGCACTCCACCCATACACGTGCTCTACAACACACACACACACACACACACACACACACACACACACATACATGCACTCCCCTCAGCCAGCTTGTTTCCTCCAACCTGGATCCAGTGATGCTCTTCCAAGTCCAAGGCCCGGGACCAGGCCTCAGGGAACCTGCAGCTTCTGCCTCCTGCCTCTCAGGAACCGGCCAGAGCCCCAGCCCCAGCCCCAGGGAGGAGCCATGAGAAGGAGATGAAGGCACGCTAGTTAGCGGCCTCAGAGGAGCAGCCGAGGGGAGGGGGTGGGCGCGGCCACAGATGACACCTGGGCATCCGGGTGTCCCAGGGCAGCCCCGCTGATGCCACATGGAGAACTGCCCAGCGGAGCCCAGTCCACGCACAGAACACGAGAGAGCAAGATGGCGGTGACGTCAGCCATTCATTCGGTTTTAGGTTCCTCCGCTCCTCCAAAGCAACAGGAAACTGACACAGACTCCAGGCCTGGGCCCAAGTTCCCATGACAACACTCCGCGATTGTGACCAGGTCTCCGGCGCCCTCACAGCCATAGCTCCATCTGGGACGGGGCAGCTTTGTGACACTGTGACTCCGCGTCACGGCTAAGGCCGTCCTCAGGCTCCATGTGTGGGCTCTTCTGTCCTTAAGCAGCAATGACTGCAATGCCTGTGCTTTTTTAAATCCTCACTCCAGGATACGTTTTCCATTGGCTTTTAGAGAGAGTGGGAGGGAGGGAAGGGGGAGAGAGACACATTCCAAGGGAAACATCGACGTGAGAGACACATCGATGGCTCCCTCCCGCACACGCCCTAACCGGGGCCAGGGACAGAGCCTGCAACTGCGGTTGGTGCCCTTCATGGGAATCGAACCCACAACCCTTTGGTCCACGGGCTGATGCTCTAACAAGTGGGACAACCAGCCAGGTCACAGTGACTGTGCTTTCTGACTTATGCTACTGGAACTGACGTGCCCTGGAACTGACGGAGCCTGAGCCGACACCCCTTCCGCCTGCCAGAGGAGAGACGTGTTGAGACGCGTCGAAGACATGACAGCAATCAGCTGCCGCATGCCTCCCGCAGGGGCTCCATTTGTATTCTAACAGCTGGCGGCCACATTAGTCACGCTGTCACCACACCCCCAGCTCCCAGCTCCCAGCTCCCTGCCAAAGGGCTCTCATCGGCGTTCCACGGAGCTCTGAGCAGCACCGGGAGTGTTCGGGGAGCGGGCTGGGATGCATGCTGCAGAGGAAAGCCAGATGCAAAGAGCAGCGAGGAGCGCCCCAGCCCGGCACGGCTGCCTCCTGCTGCACACCCACCCTTTGCTGGGCCACGGGCAGCTTCATCCCCAGAGACATGGTGCTATCATGGGGGAGGGGAGAGCAGAGGATGCCCTCTCGTTTCTCTCTGAAGCTTGCGCTGGCAGGCTTTGTGCCGCGGCTGAAGGGCAGGGTCACCGTGAGAAACCCTGGCTGCTGGGTGTGCCGGCCGTGGCAGCTGGGTGAGGAAGCTCAGCATGAGGAGCGCAGACCTCAGGAGTGGGAATGATATAGATCCTGGCCTGGATGTTGGCACAGACCAGCATAAAGGACTCACTGTCTGTTTTTAAAAATCATTAACTGCCCAGTGGGGTGGTTGAGAGCTGACCTATGAACCAGGAGGTCATGGTTCGAGTCCTGGTCAGGGATTATGACCGAGTTGCAGGCTCGATCCCGGATCATGCAGGAGACAACCAATCAATGATTCTCTCTCATCACTGATGTTTCTATCTCTCTCCTCCCTTCCTCTCTGAAATCAATCCTATATAATAAAGGCCTAATATGCAAATTTCCCCCTCTACCAGGAGTTCAACCCTGAGTTTGGCAGCTCACTATGACATGTGCTGACCAGTAGGGGGCGGTGCAGAACATGGTGGGTGAGGCGCTGGCAGCGAGAGGCAGTGGAGGCGCTGCCAGCCCCAATGGGCTTTCAGGTGACCAGGGCCGCAGCTGCTGGGGCCACAGGAGCGGTCAGGCTCACCATGAGTTCATGCAGGAGCCGGTCTGCAGAGGTTGGCTGGGAGAGAGCATTGCCCTGTGCGGTGCTGCTGAGGAGACCAGAGGCCCACGCTGTGCCCTGGCTTGCGGCATCCAGCTGTGCTTACAGCATTTCCGCTTGGGGACCCGGGTGCTGTGACTCAGGTGGAGGGGGAATATGGGGATCCAGGAGTCCAGGTGCTGCCCAGGGTCCAGAGGTCAGTTGGGACCTGCCCTTCCACATCAGATGCTCGGGCTTTGATTGCCAGACAGGCCTAGGGACTACACCCATGGCACAGATGAGGCAAGAAAGAACATTAATCTTATTTTATATCCTTGGACACAGGAGATGTTACGCCAAATCCCAAGGGAGGCCCCGGGGGAGCTCTGGAGAGGATGTCCATCCCCCCCCTCCCCATATCCCCGGTGGAGGCACAGGGAGCTAAGGACTCCCCCATCGCACCCAGGCACCTCCAGGAGGCTATAATTCTTAGGCAATTCCAGCTTCGGGTTCACGAGCAAAGCCGCCCCAGAAGGCTGAGAGCAGCCCTCCAGAAGCGGCATCCGGTGCCAGCCAGCTGGAAGGAGAGCACTGGAGCCAGGCGGTAAGGGGGGGGGGGCAGGCAGGGCGCACACCCATTTCACAGGCGAGGTAAGTTATCCCTCCCGTCCACACGGCTTCCTCCTGTAGCATCGTCTCCTCTCAGCCAACAGTGCCGTCCTCTGAGCCTGGAACGTGGGTGTCCACGACTCCCCTCTCCCCCTATTTCTGGCCACCAAGCCCTGCAGCTCTACTTCCTTCACATCTCAGGAACACACAGCCATTAACGACGCTGAGTGCATGTTAAGGCTGTAAAGGTAGGTGAAGAATCCAGTTTATTCTACTGGCAAAAGTCGGGGTGCCACCTAGCGCCTTGCAACAGCGGACACTGGAAGTTCAATATTAAAAGAGTTGCATCTAGCCCAGCTGGTGTGGCTCAGTGGTTGAACGTTGACCCATGCATGCACCAAGAGGTCACCAGTTTGAATCCAGGTCAGGGCACATGGTTGGGTTGTGAGCTGGATGCCCGGTAGGAGTGTGCAAGAGACAGCCGATCGATGTTTCTCTCTCATCAATATTTCTCTCTCTTTCTCCCTCAAAAAAACCGTTAAAAATATATTTTTTAAAAAAAGTTGCATATCTCAAGAAACTAGAAACACCAGTCAGAAAGGATCTATCACCCTTATGTTCATAGTGGCACAATTTACCATAGCTTAGATTTGGAAACAGCCTAGGTGCCCATCAGCAGATGAGTGGATTAGAAAACCGTGGTACACCTACACAATGGAGTACTATGCTGCAGTAAAAAAAGGAGTTCTTATCATTTGCAACAGCATGGATGGACCTGGAGAGCATTATGCCAAGTGAAATAAGCCAGTCAGAGAAAGATAAATATCGCAATGATCTCACTCATTTATGGAATATAATGAACATAAACTGATGAACAAAAACAGATCCGGATACAGAGAAACATCGATCAGACCGTCAGACCTCAGAGGGAAGGCAGGGGAGTGTGGGGGTTAGGGAAAGAGATCAACCAAAGGGCTTGTATGCATGCATATGGGCCTAACCAATGGACACAGACTCCAGGGGGGTGAGGCATGAGTGGGGGTCTGGGGGGACTAAAGGGGGGATGAGGACATGTATTTAACACCTTAGTCAATAAAGAAATTTTTTAAAAAAGAGCTGCATCTATAGAGCAGACACTAACCTGCCACCCAGTAAAAGGAGGAGGTGACAGAGAGAAGGACAGCAACAGCCTCCGGCTAAGACATTTGGCGAGTGGAGCCTTCCCCTCCCATATGCCGCTGCTTCCCACAGAGAAAGGAGGAAGCGTGCTGTGGGAAACCCACTTGTCAGAAACACATTGCGGTCCCACACCCCACTCCCATGGGGACCCAGCTAATACCTAAACCATCTCATGTCCCCATACCCCACACAAAACCCCCTGCGTTCCCTCACTGGCTGCAGTGAAACAGAAATTCCTAAGCCCCTCCTGCAAGGCTCCCGGTGCTCTGTCCCGTCTCCCCAGCCTCACCTGTCCTCGTGTGACCTCCTGCCTCTGATGTTGCTGCTACTGCAAGCTGCCGACACATACAACTGCTCTCCCTGCCTCACACTAGCCTGGATACCACCACTCACCCTTCCATCTTTGGCTCAGAAAGCCTGGTGGGACCTCCGCTGGCTGGCTGCAGCGCCCCCTCCTGTCCTTTCTGTCTTAGCACTCACCTGCCTCTCCCAGGGTTCCCTGCACACCTGTCTGTCACCACATGAGAGCCCTGAGCTCATTGAGAGGGGGAACCCCGTCCTATCTGTGCTCCCACTTTACCACAGCGCCTGGCACAGGCCGGAGGCCCTGGGTGGGTGGACAGCCGAGGGATCCCTTCAGGACCTGGACAGCTCCCAGGAGGGCCTTGGCTCTGGTGGCTCCTGAGCAGGGGCCTGAGCTTTCCTGGGCTCTCACCTGTGGATCCTCACATTCATGCTGGCCGGTGTGGCTCTGTGGTTGGGCATCGACCTAAGAACCACGGTTCGCATTCCTGGTCAGGTGCATGCCTGAGTGTCAGGCTCAGTCCTCAGAGGGGGCATGCAGGAGGCAGCTGGCCAAGGATTCTCTCCCATCATTGATGTTTCTATCTCTCTCCCTCTCCC